GCGCTCAATTTGAACGTGCAAAAAGCGGGAATTATAACACGCAAAAAGCGGGGTTTACCAACTCAATTGTAATGATTGTGATATTAAATATCCCCCGATCCATATACAACATACATAACCCACCTCTAAAACCCTGCCAGGCTATTCAAGGGAAGATCAGGCTCAGAAAGCTCTAACATTGCTGAGTTTCCTCAAATTTAAAAAAAATTTATAATAAAAAAATGTATTTAGGTCATTACAATTCAATTTAGTCAGTACATCTCGTTATAATGAAAATAATAATAATGAAGACCTAAAACATGAGCATGATTATTTTTCGAAGGCTCTAATATTTTAGAGTTTGTATCGTTCAATGTTGAAGCTCTGAGTTTCAATTTGACAGAGCTCAAAACCCTTATTTTAAGTCTACATTATATTTAGTATTGCGCTGTTTCTCACATTAATGTAAATCAGTAGCATTAGGTCTAGTGTGAGGGATCTAAGTATGTCAATATTTTTAAAAAGATAGTTCCTACACACAGTAAGTTTTTTTCAACGAGCCGGTGTTCTTTAACTGAAGTTTTTATTTTTCTACTGGTTTATCCTATATATTTAATATCACAATCATTACAATTAAGTCGGTAAACCTATCTTTTGGCCAAGGAGCCTAACATTGTCTTTAGGTTTTGCAATCCATGTCGAGAGACGAGGTTGTAGAACACTTCCAACCTGATGATGAGCTATAAGCTCGAAATTCAGATCGTGGAAACAACTTACTTTGAGAAAGAACTTTTTAAAAAGATTGAACAGTACAGTCATTCCACCATTTATCATTTCTATCTAAGTAAGTCTGTTATTCATAAATCAGCATTGGGTGAGAACAAGTATAATGATTCGTCAAATGGTAAGTATCAAATTATTGCTTTTACAGGCAATGATTTTTATTTTTTTTGTACCAAGCTTCTAATTCAGGTATAAGAATTTAAAATTTCTGTATAATCGGTGAAGGTTAACATGCGTAATATCAGAGATTAAACAAGCAACTTTTTATTAATTTAATATACAAACATGAACTACAATTAAATATTTTCTTATTAGAAAAGTTTAAAGGGTTTTGTAACATTATTTCTAAATTCATTAGCATGGAATAAAAGAAATGAACTGAATTGATGAAGTATAAGGTGAGTTATTTTTGCTATAGCACCGCGTATGTATTTTTTAATTATTAACATTCCTTGGAATTGGTTCTCATATTTTATCCAATGAATGTAGAGCTATTCAGATATTTTATTAACATTTTTTAAACACTGATTTATTTCACTGATTATATTACAAACCACTCAAAGCTTTCTATCAATTGTGAAAGTAATCAGGTGATTAATGATCGCCCCAGTTCGAGATAGGTTTTGGGCTCTAGGGCTTTTTTCCTTCGGCTGGCCACCTAATTCCCATAGAAAAGGTCCGGCCAGCGGCCCTTTCTCGTTTTAGCAAAACTTTCAAAGCCCACAGGCTCTACCAATGGAAAGGTGGTGGGTGCTGTTTTGCATAAAATGCTGATTCTAACAATTTCTCCGCAGGGGCTTACACAGCGCGAACGGACATTACATTAACGCCTGATAACAAAACGTTTAAACACCCCGAAAAAAGCCAATTTCATTCTTTTTAAAAACAAATTTAAAAAATTAAAATCCTAAGTGCAGGTTTAATTTTAATTCCGTGTAATCATCAGCTAAAAACCACCCTGCAAATATAATGCTATTAGGGATTCGTGTAATTGATGTAAACACAAGGAAACACACACACACACACACACACACACACAAAATCACTCCCTTTCTGCCTATCTATCTCTCACTGCCTCTCTCAATCTCTCTTACTCCGATTTTCTCTCTTAATTTTTCCTCTCTCTCTCTCTCTCTCTCTCTCTCTCTCTCTCTCTCCATTTCTCTCTTAATATTTCTCTCTTCGTCTACCTCTTTCTCTTCCCCCTTGTCTGTTTTTCTTTCTTTTAAAATTTAAATGTAACGAATCTACATAACAACTTAAGAATAAATATATCACTAAAAACCATGAATACAGTCGGAACACTAAAATTTAAAACATTGACAAAACTGACATTTACACTACAACTTGCAAACGCGGAGGCAAATACATCGCCCATACTGAACGAAAAATAAAATACGAAGGAAATATAAGATCAAAGTTGGGTTTTTTATCGACCTGATAGCTATATTAGAATATTTTGAGGTATCTTCATAAAAATCTTTTTGATGAAGTAGAATTTTAGGATGTTGATAAGGATTCGGGTTGTGATCTTCAGAACATAATTGGTATATGCCCAAGCTTTCGATAAGTTTTATTGTCTTCTACAGGGGACCTACAGAGACATAGGAACAATGTTAAGTAGGCAGTTATAAATTATTTTGTCAATTTGTTGCTACTTACAGATACAATGTCACAACATAAACATATTATAAAATTCGTCCTATATGTACATATAAATCAATAAATAAAAACCTCTTCTTCTCTAGCTTTTTTATATAAACAATAACAAATATTTAAAATTAATAAAATGTTCAGGTACATATGTATTACAGGCGTTTAACAAGAAATCATGTGCTTATCACGTTATCAGGTGGGAGGTTCTCCAACCAATTGATAATAATCATTTTATACAATTTTTAATAACAAGAAGATCTTAATTTCTAGTATGTTAGTAATAAATTACAATTAATTAAGGTTTTTAGTTGAGATAAAAAAGTCAAATTCACGAGCGGGATTTGAACCCATTTGTCGCCGATAATCCAATCCGATTACACGACATTTGAAAAATGGCAAAAAGGAGGGAAAATTCAAAAGGTGGGGTTGAGATGGGAAGTTAGTGATGGAAGTCACAATAGCTCAGATGGTAGAGTAGCGGCGTATCAAGCCGAAGATCGTGGGTTCGAATCCCGCTCGTGCCATTGATTTTTTTATCTCAGCTAAAAACCTTAATTAATTGTAATATATTAATTGGTCAAGCGGACCACGAAATTAGTGAATCTATGTTAGTAATGTTATAATAAATATATAAATAAAAAAATAATTAAATATGTATGTATTGATACGATTCTCAGAGAGAGGGCCTTGTCTTTTGATATAATTGTATGTTCTGAAGACCACAACCCGAATCCTTCTCAACATCGTAGTAAAAGCTGGTTGAACGCATAAGAAACATTAGAATTTTAGGGTTCACCAAGCTTTCGAAAATTTATGTAGCCATCCTCATTTTGGTGAACAATCCTATTTAAGAAATAATACATGACATTGACAAAGTTACAGTGGGATATTGAATAATAAATTTTCAAAATAATGTGAAAATAATGTAATTGTTCAATATCTCACTGTAACTCTGTTAATGTTATGTATCTGTCAATAAATAAACCTTTAGGATGACGATGTAAATCGCCGAATGATTGATGTCCAAAAAAGTCTACTTCATTACAAACACCTTTAAGAAGAAACCTCAAAAAATTCAAATATAAGATTTTTTAGAAGAATCACGAAAAAAAAGTTCACGTCACAGAAAACTTAGTTTCGGTAATAGAGACAATCATGAAAATCACGAAAATAGTTAAAAACAAAGAAATATATAAAAGTACCACTATTAAAATCAGTTTGCATACATAATTTAAACCATTCAAAACATAAAACATATTAAAACAAAAAGGCGCCTTATTCCACAATAGGCACCTACAATTACATATAGCACATACGCGTTACATACAACATACGCGCATCTCACTATCTTATAGACTTTACATCACCTAAATAAAAAGGATCTTGACTAAATATATTTTTTCGTTATTAGAGTCTATCTGTGTTAGTACTTAAGCTGTAATTGTTTTCAAACTCTCGTTTTATTATACTTTCTTTTTAATCATAATTCGGATCGAAATTTTTTGAATTCAGAGAAAGTATAATGAAACAAGCCGGTTGTTTAGATTTGCAAATCCTTTTAATTTACGGAATTAATTCTGAAGCAATGTTTTTCTTGTTTTTATATTCCGTTGTACTGTTCATTCTGATGTATTTGAATACATTTTTCTGAAGAATTGTTTGATCAACATTTCAAAAAATTAGTTATTTACCCTCTGTAGGTCAAATAATTTTATTTCCTAATTACCAGGGAACATTTTTCAAAAACATTGTTTTTGAAATAAATTTAATGCTAAATCAACGATCTTTTGTTTAAATTTAAATAGTTAATTTAATTTGAATAGCAGTGAAACTTTTAATACTTGCTTTTCAGTTTTCTCTTTTCTTTCAATTAATTAATATTTTTATTCAAGGTCTTGATTGAAGTGAAAAAGGCTGCTGAACCCAAGTGGGATAATGGGACACTAACTTTTTCATCTCAATTAAGACCTTAGATTAAAAAAAAATTAATATGGACAATTATGACTACTAAACATATATGGAATAATATTTCTTTTTGATCTTGAGCCGACACAGTAATTGTTTTGGAAAATTTATATTCTCGAGTTAGCCTGCCATCTCTGTAGCATACAAACTAACTTTTGATAATTCCGGTCTGCCTAACATTGGCAATTAAAATAGACTTGTGAAATTTTTCGTAATGAATAACTTTTGCTCTGTTATCATAGACAAATTTTGATGGACTGGGTTGCATTTGTTAATAATTTTCGCAACTTTTTGTATCACGTTTAGTTAACAAATTGCTACAAGCTAGTTTTGACAAGTTCTGGTGTTAATTATTATTTATTAGGTTAAGATTTTTATAAATTAAGCTAGAAAATGTTTATCTTTAAATGAAAAATAAATATAAAAACCTACGAAAGATTATGGAAAGAAAGACTGAAACATTAAATTAAACAAAAAAAAAATATTGAAAACCATTTTATTTTCTAAAGATGATGACCAGTTTACTCTTGGTGGTTATTTAGATATTTGCGCCCCGTTGTACTTTGGACTGTAGGTCTCTCGGTCCAGCCATATGTTATTCGGACCAGTTCAGTTGTTATCGAACCGCCCTTGTGGACGCATCGAATATTTGGTTAAATTGATTGTCTGATGGATAAAATTTCGTCGTGGTCATTCACGTTGTCGAGATCGTGGTGTCACCCGTATTTTCGTCGGTCAAACTGTTCCTTGTACCCCCCGGAACCCTTATTGTTGAAGAAAATAGCTAACGGACAACAGGTGAGATATATATTCTATTTATTTTTTATTGCTTTCTTTCTGTTCAAAATTACTATAATTTATTCGGTTTTGTTCATTTTCTGTTTTTAAATTTAATTTGATTGTCCCAGGCGCAAACAGTAGGGAGTGACCAAAAGACATTATGTCATGCCAACGACCATGAATTTTAATCCTCCTTTCAAGGCTGGATCATAAAGTTCAAAATTCCAAGATGTTTTTAAAGTAAAACACGTGTTATTGTTATAATTTAACATGTAATGTTTTGAGCTGCTATTGTAGACAGAAAGTTTGATAAGAAAACTCTGCCAATTTCTATATTGTAGCCTTTAAAAATTAACACCATTTTGACATGTAAAAATAAGAAATTAACCTTCACAACTTTTTTTTTCACTGTATGTTTTTCACCTTCTAATTTGTGAATGTATAATGATGTTATATTTACAATATACAAATACACAGAAACCATGATAGTCTTCATCGTACAACGTGGTAGTCTCAGACTACCCCAGAGTACTCGAAATTCCTCGGGGTAATTTGGGATAAGACCTACATTCACGCTAATAAATTACATTCCCACACCAGGCATCGTTCATAATACCCCAGAGTCAAGATATTCTTTGGGGTTATCTCGGATGACCCTTCCTTTCACGTTAATAAATTAGATTTCCAAATTATTTTTATATTCATGTTTTCCAGTTTCTAATCATACTTGTGTTAATATTTAATTGAGACTATTTTACCAGAAATTGATATTTATACAGGAGACATAAATTTTAAAGTTAATTACTGACCTTGTCAATCTCGCTCTGGTGTTCATTGAATTTAAACTGAATTTTTTTATTTGACAAGAAGTGTAAACTTTTTTATCTTTACTGATCGCTTGGGCTTTTTCCAATTTTGCTAAATGCCCTAAGTTAGACGATTAAATTACAAGAGCCATCCTTTTTTTTTAATATTAAAAAAGTTTTAAAATTAAATTTTTACAATGCCTCCAAAGTTGAAGTAGATATTGCGGTTATCATCAAAAGCATTATTTTTTAAGATAAAAAAATCCATTACGCGAGAAATTTAATAAATTTGGAAACAAATCTTAAATAAGAAAATTGCAAATTCACCGGCGCATTTACTGTGTACATAAAACAACCGTTGTACAAAGCCAGCCGACTTAATTACTTTGCTAGAGACATTAGAATTTTCATCCCGCAGCATAAATCCCAGTAATAATTAACCCTTAATAAATACAGCAATAAAGAGGCTCTAAGAGGGCTTGCGCTCTGCTTTCCGGGATTTATTATACTCTTGACGTTCTCTGCGTCTACTACGAAGAGTCGAAATGGAGTAATTAAAGAAAGAGAGCTGAAGATGGAAAGAATTCCATTTCGGGATTGGAAGATTAAATAGTTTTCAAGAAACATTTATAAACGGAATAAATACATAAGAAAACATCATCTCCAACTGCCGAGCCAGGGTACTAAAGGCTTTAGACCTTCCATCTCCAAAGCTAGTCTGGACATGTGTAACGTATTGTTTCCATGATCTCGGAAAAAAAAGTCAGATAAGTCTGATGCGGTAGAACGAAAAGTATTGAAATCATGGAATAGGTTGAAAAAGTAGCAAAAGCAGAAGAAGCTCTCACACTCTGACCGTAATCTCAAATTGACACACCCTAAATTATGCTTAAAAGAATGAATGAATAGAAATAAAAGTATTGATGGATTCACTAGATACAAAAAAAAAAAAACTACACATTTAATCAGACAAACTAAATTGCGCCTCTCTCCCACAGAAGGCAAGAATTAAGGAAAATATTCTCTTTATAATAGTCAAGTACCATTTAATTACCACTGCAAATAAATTGTAAAACCTCTGACTTGCCTTACCAAAGAAGGTACTGTTACAGCTTCCTTACTGTGGCTGCACATGCGTCAGTGGTGAAGGGGGTGGGTCGTGTTGAAGGGAGAGACATGTGATGGTCGGTGAGGGGGTGAAAGTTCATTTACAGATGTTATGTTGAGCGCCACGGTATTTTTGGAGAAGGATAAATACAGAAACCAGAAAAAAAGGAAAAGAAGAGTAGAACAATGGAAAAAAAAGAAAGGGAAAAGGGAAGTCAGATACGGTTCCCGTGTTAGACCCCAGACGACCGATGTAGCGCTTCTGGCTTCTTTTCTTTCTGATGAAGTGGCGCTTCCACCCAGGGTTACGATGGGAGCTAAATAATGAATTTCTTACTTCTTATATCGGAGTTAATTCGTTAACACAGAATGATACCTTAGGGTATTTAGATTACTTAGGTTTTAAACTACGATTAAAAAAAATGAGTACTAATAACAACTATTCTTTTTATAATTACTATGACAAATTCTTTTTAAATTAAAAACTAACAAAAGGCCGAAACTTACAACTAATGTCTTTAGTCGCGAATTATCAGGCCTGATAAAGAAATTGGAAATGGACCAACGGGATCACTCTTTCACTTGCCGGCCTTTTTCTTCGTAGGAACTCTCGCACCCGTAGATCAGCACGACTGGGAACACAAGACACACACACACACACACACACACACACACACACACACACACGCACGCACGCACGCACGCACGCACGCACGCACGCACGCACGCACGCACGCATACATTTAAAAAAATTTCCTCGCGGAGACCACCTCTTACTCGGCACGTCTATCTCGAACTGACTCTCCTTGCATTTTTTATATAGTTCAACTTTCGAAAAAAGAAGGATCGATTGCACAATAGAATTTTCAGGTCACTGTGGGAAAAAGGAGACTATGATTAGCAGTGTCCAAAAAACAACAATCATGAGCAAACAATTAACTCTATAAAAAATATTTTGTAAAACATTTCAAATTTAACTTTGTGCAAAAATTGAATAATTAGTAGAACATAGGTTTATACAAGTTTATATAGAAATGCTATTGTTAACTCATGGTTCGCATCAACTATTTGACAATTTTGAATTGAAAACTCAGGGAAATAAACCAATTTGAAAGAAAAAAACTCAGTCTTCCCGTAAATAAATAAATATATCGTATGAACATTGTTTATGTCAATTCACTATTTTCGTTGTCCGCTTGACCAATTTATACATGACAATTAATTAAGGTTTTTAGTTGAGATGAAATACGGTTAATGGCACGAGAGGGATTCGAACCCACGACCTTCGGCTAGATACGCCGCTGCTCTACCACCTGAGCTATCGTGACCTCGATCCACTCGGACATNAGGTGGTAGAGCAGCGGCGTATCTAGCCGAAGGTCGTGGGTTCGAATCCCTCTCGTGCCATTAACTTTTTTCATCTCAACTAAAAACCTTAATTAATTGTCATTGTTTATATTGATAATAAATTTCAAGGTCAACAAATATGAACTTCCACTTACAAAATTTAAACTTCTGGCTTCAGTTATAATGAATTTTTGATTTTAACTTTGTAGAGAAGACAAAACTCCATTCATTGTAAGATGAAATTTATTTCTTTTTTAATATTTGTCTGATATATCTCACTTCAGGTTTTATGTATATATGCGTCAAAGGAAAAGAGAGAGAGTGCGAGAGAGAGAGAGAGAGAGAGAGAGAGAGAGAGAGAGAGAGTGAGAGAGAGAGAGAGACATTAACCTTTCGACTTTGTGTAACTAGAAACACTATTGGTCGAAATTACGAAGGAACTGGCTGCTTTTATTATACTTATAACTAGCCCTATCTTTATTTTTCAATGTAAAAATGATGTTCAAAGATCTTATTTTGTGTTTTGATTTTCTGGATCAGTTTTGTACTCGTCTCCACAGTTTTTGTTCTGGTAGACGCATATTTATCTGACCAGCAGTTTTGTCATAAAAAGTAATTAATAAACATGTTTATTAAGCATTAATAGAATTTTTACTCCTATTAAGAGAGCATAAAGAATTATAAGTTTCAACACAATTATAGTTTTACGTTCAAAATAATTTTATAGTAAACTATGGCATATTTTTAAAATTAAATTTATATATCTCATTTTTATTTCATATATTTTCATTAACGCTATATACATCATTGTTTTCTCATATGTAGTACGATAAAGCATAATAATCCTAGGGCAGAAAAGGGAACTTAATAATAAACCATTTAATGTAGCAATTCTCCATTTAATGCTCAGTACATACTTATGTAATATGAAAATGATTATTAAATGTAATTTAGTCATTTAATTAAGAAGAAAGTTATAACTTATGGTTGATAATAAACTCATAATTTGTTAGGTGTAGATAAAATTTTAATTGTCAGTAAATCCTTCACTAAAATTTAAATGTTCACTCGATTTTTATACGACTAGGTTTGATTTTGAAATCATAAAAAAACGCTTCTCTACCTAGCAACGCATTACAAAAAATCAAAGACATGGATAAATCCTTTAAATTTAATTTAGCTCAGGGAGCAGATAATCCCATCACTTGCCCTTCTTTTGACAGATAATAAAACAAGGGCGCCGTTAATGATCCGAGAGAGTAATCCCGAGGAGAAGGATTACCTTGGCCAGAAAGGAGTGGCTCTTCGAGCCGCTTACTGGGTTTTTGTATAATCAGTCGACTTTATCAGTATAAGAGGCGGCTTGGAGTTAATCTCTTTAAACGTTTATTACACGACCCTATTTTGCTTGGTTCCTCCACGGTCCAATTTTTCTCCCAGTGCAAAATTGGATCTTACCCGCGAACTTAAGCACTGGTAATTATGGCCAGCTAAATTCGTTTTGACCCGCCGCCTGAAATATGTCGACTATTTGTAATTTCATTTTTTTCGTTCGACTAATTTAGCGCAAGCACGGTAAAAAGTGGAAATAATAAAAAATAAACCAGTTGTCAAACAAAATAAAGTGACGCTCGTCTCTCTCACTCACAATCTCTCTCTCTCTCTTTCTCTTTTTATCTTTCTCTCTCTTTCTCTCTCTCTCTCTCTCTCTCTCTCTCTCTCTCTCTNATATCTTATTAGTATATATTATTAGTAAATTGTACTGCGTAGAAGATAGATAAAAATAGACATGCATAATAGAACTTTCTATTCTTCTAATAATGCAATTGTTCCTTCCCTTGAATTCAAGAAGATTCTTTTACAACTTTAGGCCAGTGAATATCGACACTGTTGTAATAAAGAAAAATGAACATTCATAAATCTCGAATCGAGGTAGTTTATTACACCCTTACTATTTTTTAATAAACTCTTAGACAATCTTCCACTGATTACGTCTAACAATATTTGATCTGTTTAAAAGATTAGGGGTAAATAAAACATATATCAAATCTTCCACTTTTGTTTATACTTGTGTAACCCCGGGATCCTGGTAGAGTCTGATTCGGGGCTAAATGAGTCGCGCTAATTTCTAATGCTATTTTATTCGACAGAACTATGCGATTTACAATCAAGCGTCTTCTTATGAACTACTTATAGGTAATTAAGTCTCGGTAAAAAGGGGCAGCTGGATAGAATTACTAGGGTCTTAACAGGAAATGATTGGCGCCACAACTCTTATCAATACGTGCCTGTTTATTACACACCGATTATTACTGCCACGATGAGAGTCCACCACATCACACAACCAGCCGGGTTGCTGACAGAGCACCTAGGTCCCCCTTTTGCCGACACTGTTTCTTATTATCCTACTTACAATTATTAAATCTATTTAAAACAATATTTGATTCATTTTATTTTATAAATCTTCCCATCACCGGTTACACTTGTATTTGGTAATTAAAACTTCGAATAGTCAATCTCTTCTTTGTTGGTTTTTCTTCAAATCTTCCTTTTAACGTTCCGATGGTTTGATGATATATGTTGTACCATACGATGTCTTTCAGAAGCCTCTATATTTATTGGTCTATTCACCAAATTACATCTTTCAATTAATTAATCTTTTTATGTAAGGTTTTGTTTGATATGAAAAAAGTTAGTGCCACGAGCGGGATTCGAACCCACGACCTTCGGCTAGATACGCCGCTACTCTACCACTTAAGCTATCCCGACTTCGATCCTCTCGGACACCAACTCCCCATCTCAACTTACAATATTTCGAATGTTCCCTCCTTTTTGGCGATTTTTCAAATGTCGTGTAGTCAGGAGTCGATTCTCGGTCTTTCAGAAGCTGGATTTCGTGCAAGAAGTCTTGCCGGTCCGGAACTTCTTACAAGGCACAGGACAACTCTGTTAAGTTGAGCAGAAACCACATCAATTGGTCTGAGCAAAATTGGGCTAAAATCGTGATTTCGATGGTCAAGGTTTGGTTTGCGGTCGTCTGATGACGGAGAGAGGATTTGGAGTCGAACTGAAGAGCGATATAGCCCCCGCAATATTTTCACTCAGGAAAAGCTATAGAGGAGGTGTTATGGTTTGGGCTGGTATTTGTACGGAAGTTCGCAATAACTCGATCTTTATCAAACCTTCCCTAACTACTTTGCGATTGAGGATGTGTTAAGAGAAGAAGTTATACCTTATATGCCACTAATTGGCGACTATTTTATTTCTATGCAGGACAATACACGGCCGTACACAGCTAGGATCACTGTTAACTATATGGATTGGGCTTCAATTTTTCTTGTTTTCTTCACTGTTTCCACAGCAAAATTTTAGTAAAATTGTTTTATTCAGTTTCATTTTTTATTCAACTATATATTTCCTTACAAAATATGTATTAAACAAATAAACACAGCATGATTGCAGATATTTATTAAAAAAATTAAAAAAGTGAGGGTGGCCATTTTTTTTTCTCTCAGAGTATTTATGAAAACTGCAGATTGACTTGTTAACACTAATATTGAAAAATTAAAATTAAATATTTCTGTTAATTGAACGGGCCTATTTAAAAGGTTACAGTACTATTAAATGCACCATTTTGTTTCTAATCTCTTATATCAATTTTATTTCTTTTTGGAAGAAAGTTTTCTAAAATTATAAAAATAACATTCGAGTATTAAGTCATCGGAATTCTCTTTTAGCGACATTGTTGACTTTTATTGGATGGTCTTAGAGGCAGGTTGTGCTTATTGGCCAAGAATCTGATAGGGTCCTTCAAAGGCCGTTTTTTCATTTGTTGCCCTTAAAGGCCCTATCCTCATTCCTCGGTAGTCGGGCCATAAGGAATTCCGTTCGTTCAGACGCCAATTGGAAGCCAAGAAGTTGGAGGCAAATGTTATTTGATTCCGTGTTGAACATTTGCTTCTCGGTGTCATTTGACATTTTTGAAAAAGAAAATCTGGCCAAACGAGATTTTCTTTTCCTCTCAGGGTGCGGTCAACTGTGTAAAAACATCCCCCTCATTTTGCACGGTTGACTGTGAGCTCGACGTCTCTTTTTTTAGTTAATTCTACTTTGTTTACATATTTATTAAGCCGTTACGAACCCTGAATATGTAAATAGTAATACTGACCATTCCAAATTTTTGCCTTGACATTTTAATTAACTTCTTAATATGTATTACTATGTCAAAAACGTACTATGTAAACTATTTATCTTCCTCAAATTATGTATACGACAAAAATGGTTGTAACTATTCTTATATAAACATAGATTATTTAGCTTTGTATATAATTGATTGCGAAGTCTGTCAACTCGTCAGAAGAACGTTCATGGCAATGTAATTGGCTTACGCCTAACAATTGATGTCGAGATAAAGCCTCGGCTTCTAGAATATTATTATTTTATACAGGACGAACAGAATAGAAACCATTTTCTATGGTACATTTTCATACGTACATTTACTTAAAACTGATTAAAATATCATAGAAATATCTCACTTATACACCCAGGGTATGGTAAAAAATAAAATCTCTCTAGGATTCATAAAAACATGTGTTTAACACAGTCAACTATCACCTTAAAAACAGAAGTAAAACTTCAGAAAAGTCGGCCAATAAATATCATTATTGAGTAAAGCTGAACTTCTGATTGCATACCCAAAGCAACCACCAATGATTATTTACATGTTATTTTTACCATGTTATTATATTGTCCTATATTTCTTTCGTATTTTCTAATTAAATTAATTCGTAAGTTTATTTAGTTGCTGAGTGTCAATATCATTTTTTGCCATAAACATAATATATTATAATAATAATATGTTCATATTAACATATAAACTCGCGTCTGACTGATACATTTGCTGAAATGTAAAATTTCTAGTCTGAATCTTTGCTAATAAACGTTGGTGTTAAATGTTTGAAATGTATAAATAACGCCTTTTTACAATAAATAAAATAAAAACTAATTAAAAAATAATGCTGAACGGGCACAGAATCAACTCTAGTTATGTCTAGGTATGTCCGCACTCACGGGTTCGTTAAGTTATTCAAATGCGTTTCGGCATTGCGCCATCTTCAGTGAGCAATTGTCTGTTACTTTGTCTGAACATTGCAATACAAAACGAATACGAAACAAACGCGTTCAGAAACTACTAAAAACAAAAAATAAACAAAGGAAAACGGAACACAAAACAACACTAGTTGGACAACATTCATATACACTTCAAAATAAACCTACGGTCTAACAAACTTTTTCAACAAACTCGGACTGTAAACAGCCCTAAGGACCAACAATAACACAGATTATCTAATAAAAAGAAACATACACACAACTGACCCGCTAGACAATAACGGTTTTAATAGTATCATATGCCAAACCTAAAACACTATTGTTCAGATTGAAGAGAAATTAATAGCCCGTTTCAAAGAACACCATAGATCGTACAGGTAATCAAATTACCACCACACACTTAATACATCACAACCATGAACCAAACTTAATAGAAACAAGCATAACTTTAATACAAAATTCACAAAAAGGACAAAACTCATCTAAAAATCTCAACTAAAGAATCTTGAGATATAAAAAACAACAACTTAAAACTTAAATAATAAATGTACAAACTCACATTACATACTACGTCAACACCATTAAAGCCACACATATATAATACAGGCGTAAACGTCCAGAAGAATACAACATTGAAATCAACACCACAATAAAATAAAAGCCAATAGTGTTTTATCAGCAATTCCAAATTTTAAATTATAAATATTAAAAATAACATTTAAAAAAATATAGATATTCAAACGGCATTCAGTTATTAATGTGGGTTTTGTTTGTTTCAGGTAAATAAACGGCCACTATGTTTTTCTGGTGACTCTCTTCCTCTACAAATAACAGGGTATTTATAATAATATGTTATTTTTATTTTATATTATTTTTAACTAATTTTTTTAAAACTATTTTATAATATAAAACTAGTTCACTATGTGTAGTGATTAGTGACCGTCAGTCAATGGTTATTCACAAATCGTGAGATGCTGTAGGTTTCAGAAAAACATTTTCTTTATCGTGCCAACGGTTCGATCTTTATTGAGATTATCTTCAAGGCCTGGGATTTACAAACATTGTTTAATTTAACAAAAACATGTAGGATGTGGAACAAAGTGAATTTATATAATGCAAAAAATTATTTTTTTATATTTCAATCAAAGTATTTCTATTCCTAGGCTCTGAAGATGATCTCAATAAAGATCGAAACGTTGGCACGATAAAGAAAATGTTTTTCTGAAACCTACATCGCACCAGTCCGCATCTCATTATTTCTAAATAATCGTAGTTCACTATAATTTTTGGTGACAGTAAATGGTAAGTGCCGCAAAAATGTATATTTTTTGGACAAAACGTAAACTGTAAATAAGTATCATGGTCACACTCATACACACATGCATACAAAACGAAAAAAAATCAACGTTTTCTATGCATTTTTGTAAACTATTTTTAAAACCTGCGTTCAATCGTCTAAAGAATGAATCTTCTACGAAATTCTTACAGATCAATTAATAGTCGTTTTGCTGGCAGATGTTTATAAAAATTAAACGTTGATAAAGATATTTGAAGAAATTAGAAAATACACTACGCCATGACAAAACGTCCTTCGGATTGGCAGATTTTCCAAAAACTGCTTCAAATTATACATTCCTTTTTCGAAGAGTATGTTACATTTATCCTCTCCTCCATAAAAAAAAGAAAAAGAAAGAATAACTGATACCATGGGAGTCAGAGTTTTAGGCGATGTGTATGATTTCATTTGTATTTATGACAAAGGTTTAGTTAATCAAAAACTGATTCTACATTTCAGTACGTACTCATTTTTGTGAAAGTCCACCCCATTTGCAGTTTTCCTCATTTTTGGTTCACATAATGAACAACCTTGTATAGGAAATTTGGGAAACGAAATAACTCAATTATATCTTATGCTAAAACTATAATCTCAACGTCTCAATTTACGTGTTACAGCTCTTTTTATTTACTTATAATATAAATTAAATATAATTTAGTCAATTTTATCCTACAACCAATTTTAATATAGGAAACATGAATAACAAAAATTACGTTCAAAACGAACATTGTATTCACGCTTTGTTACGTGGAAATGATATCATCGGGTAGTAGCGATGAATGGCTTTTAACAATAGACTGAGAAATCCATTTGTGTTCATATTCTAATACATATAATAATGCTTTATTACATTCGAGATAATAAGTTGTATACTTATCCGTTAGATATTCGATAACTTATATAATATCCAATGCTACGTTTTGAAAATAAAGTCTGTTTAAGTCTCTTCTATTTTACATAAATATCATGTTGCATGTAGAAACATTAGACATCTTAACGAATAATATTGATTAGTATGAATATTATTGGATTATACTTTTATTGAACAGGATATTTGGAACAAAATCATGGACCACTAAGTCAAATTCTAAATTAAAAATGTTGAATTTAAATATGTATTTTTTTGTAACGCATAAATCATTTTAATTAAAAGTTGGTGATGAAGGTTCTTACGCACCACCCACACATCAGGACCGTAATTACGACTGTCTGTACTTCTGCCCATTTAGATAATTTAATTTTATTAATTTTAATTTGAAGTTAGAAATAAAAACAGATGATAAACAATGGATTGTATATATATATATAAAACCATTGTTTATTGTGTGTTTTCATTTTTTACGTCAAAACTTCACATTATCTACGTGAGAAGAAGTACAGGCCGTCGTAATTACGGTACTGATTATATTGTGATATATTAGATGATGTAAAGTGTTTTTCTTTTGGCGATATTTTTGTTCTAGCGTAATTATAGGTAAAGGTAGTAACCCAATTGATCCCAAAAATAAAGACATAAATAACGTATTTAAAAGAGGTAGTAGATTCTTTCTGTTGTATTACGGTTTGACTTAAGTTTTTAAGTATTAAACGGCCCGATCCGCGTTTTTGCTCAGAATCGATAAGGATACGAGCAAAATTCCATAAGAGGATAGGAAACCTTAACTGGTACTGGCAAAAACATGTTAATCCGGCCGGAGCTGAAATAGGGGCTAAGGGCTTGGAATATAGCGGCCTAACTGTTTGATTATCGGTTGCCGTTGACATCCTGCCAGACGTAACAATCCTTCGGCACGGCACCAATTACACGTATTTGTACAAAAAAAGTACCTATTATTTCTTTTTAGATTACTTCCTCAGTTAACAAAAAATACCGTATCGAGACCGTAACTCCTCACGCACATAACTTTTCACGATTTGTAATTGACGTTCGTCTAACCAAATATTTTTCCCCTCGTGTGTATGGTTGATTATCTTGATCAAGTCTGAAGATATCGAGAACTGAACTTAATTTCATTCGCCCACGGATTAATATTTATATGAAAATAACCTGTATATATTATACTGGTACGTATTTAAAAAAATTTTGAATTCGTTTTTACATGTTTTAAAACAGGTGTCCCCCATGGGAATATCTTCAACATAACTTTATATTTTCATCTTCATTCAATTTTCATTTTTATATCAACAATATTGTACACATTCAGACACAAATTAGCCACCTATGACGATGGCAACATAATTATCACCAAAGCTTCGTTCATGTCAGTACCATCAGCAAGGGGTAAAAATCAAGAATGGCTCATCGAAGTAGTCGTGTCTTTATTGAAGCAAGTTATTTCGAAAGTACATACATGTGCATTGGAATATGACAAAAAGGGAAACCAACTGGCGAGAAAGACTTTCGGCTCGTCGACCCCGCGATCGTGGGTTCGACTCCCACCGTCGCCCCCGGAATTTTTTGTTATGCTCCCCTTACCCTAAAAATACAAAGACTAATTATATTAATTCATTTACGTTTTAGTTTTAGATAAAAACACTTCATATGTCGCTGAGGATCTTAGACCATATTTAAAAAGTGTAATTAATTTAAATAATTAATACGGTCAATTATGGCTACTGAATGTATATATAAGGTATATANATTTCATAATTCACATATATATATATATATATAAATAATAATTACAGAAGTACTTAGTTCGCTAACAGCTCCCCGAGGCTATTTCATAATTCACCGAGAATCGACTCCTGATTACGCGACATTTGAAAAATGGCAAAAAGAGAGAAAATTCGATCGGTTGTAGGTTGTGATGGAGAGTCGGTGTTCGAGAGGATCGAAGTCACGATAGCTCAAGTGGTAGAGCATTTGAAATATTTGCATGCACTTCAAAAAGACCAAGACATTAAAACTTGAAATTAAATATTAACCATTTATGTTTAGTGATGTAATTGACCATATTAATTATTTCAATTAATTAGTCTTTTTAAGTAAGGTTTCGGTTGATATGAAAAGGATCACGAGCTTGATTCGAGCCGAAGGTCATGGGTTCGTGGCACCGACTTTTATCTCAACCAAGACCTTACATAAAAAGAATAATTAATTATATTAATGAATATGGAATCTGGCTACTAAGTACGATGTAAGTACATTGCCATTAAGAAAAAATGCATATATGCCAAAAAATAATTATTGGAATAAAAAATCATATATTACCTCTAAAGTAAAACCACTAAAAAGTTATGATGTAAAGTAATGACTAAACAACCTCACTAAACCCCACAAACACATTGCAATTATTATATAGAGCAAAACTCATCGGAATGATACAGTTCTGTACCAGTCAGGGACATTCTAAGAAAAGACTATTGCAATATACGTTATATTCAACGATTATCGCATTTGTGACTATGCAATAAGAAAAAAGAAACTGCTGCCAACAATAAATTCGATGTAAAGTAACCGCTCAGTTGGGGCATAACTGATGATGTACGATGATGGTCCGACAAAAGAACTAAACAACAACAATCAACGAAGTTCTCCAAAGTCTTCCGAATCCAAATAGTTCACTTAACTAAAGAAATAATAAAAATATAATAAGTCACAACCATGAAGTCGGTGAAAAAAGCAAATCACCTAATTCCTACAATCCGTACGTCGACATCAGCATTTCAAGGCTATAAAGAAATTACTAACAATAACTAAATACAAGAATGTAGTTGTAGGTTATTACTCATTGAATAACTATTTTGTAGAACTGTATTCATCCAATACAAACATAGACCCGGTTAGTAAATAGAGCAGTTAAATATCAATAAAACTAAAGCAATAACATTAATATTTCCATGGTCATTGCTGGATTTGCTGATAACATTCACAATCCTTAAATAACTGGGTAAGTTCAAATTTTGAGGGAAATATGTTCAAAGTTTAACGGACCAGATAGAAGACTCACATTTCACTATCTTTCGTAAACTTTTGGCCATTTAATTATACAGGGTGCTATCACAAGAGAAGTTATATTCACCTTCTGTACTAACTGGGAATTTCTTTTGCGACTATATGCAAATTGTGGCGTTGACCTACATAACGTGACTCTGTTAAAGAAATTAATCATGCCTAAAGCACGGACTTTATCGTGGGCATAACAAAAAGCCGTTGGTTTAAAGTTGGCAAGGTTAAATTAAAGATGAGTTGTTTTTTTTAATGTAAATCCTACTGGATAACTCGTTTACATTGAAAACAACTGTGACAAAAAGAGTGTTTTATGTTTTTGTGTTCGTTGTTTGACGTACCGTCAATTGGTTAGGAATGAAAGGTATATCAAACTTGAATTCGAGGTCACGTAGCGGTGTCTTTGTTCAAGAATTTACGGCAAACGTCTTTTTAAGAAAGCCATTTATTTCCTCCTTTTTACAAGTATTGACAGGCGTGTTGGCGTGTCGTTCGCATCATATGACTTTTCACCCTCTCCGGTATGACAGGCTTGCCTCATCATCAA